AATTCCGATATGGGGAGGGTGGAAAGAAAGAGTTTGAGGAAGCGTCTGGAGGGGTCGGTGCTGATGGTAGCGGATAAAATCCTTGTGCATATTGCAGAAGAAGAAGCAAGAGGCAAGCGAGTGGTACTAACAGAGAGACCACTCCTTGTTGTATAAGAGCTTACATTACCGGTTACCACTCTTGGTAATGGGCAAGTAATTTGAGTTCGGAAAAGAGTGACAGAACTTTTCCGCCAACCTAATAGCTGAGGGATCCATGAGGCATCCACTCGGAGAAGAGGCGTCACAAAGTGAGGAGAGCGGACCCCACCACAGAGCAGGCAAGCGCCGGTTTTATGTGAAGTGGAAAGGAGAGATTGCTCCATAATGAAAACCAGGATTGAATTAGAGGGTACCTGTGTGGAGTGTTGAGAAATGGTGAGGTACCTCCTCAATAATACCTTATCACTACGCAGTCTGTTTTTGGTGTGCATCATTTGTATCCAATGGTCCCTCAGCACTACAGAATATTGAGATGCATTGTCTTTTCCCTGTTGAGTTACTTTTCAGTGGGAGGATACGGCCACGCTTCCGGAGAATACTTCGATCCTGGGGAGAAATTTCCAGTGTGGCGTCGAATCCCCTCCATGAGCATTACAAGGTAGGTCATAAAATAGTGAGTGTGCTTTCCAATAACAACTTCCTTTTATAGAGATATGCCGGCGTTGCTGCTCTCGACGATTTGCTTTACGTTGTTGGCGGCTTGAGTGACGGAAAGCTGTGAATAGTGCTGAGAGGTATCAAGCGAATTCTAACCTTTTTTACGAATAACTAGAGACAAAATTGTGTAATATTACGGTTTCGGTATTCACTGCGTGACAGAACTATCAATATTTGCAAAAATTATTTCTTAGCAGTGACTATTTGACCAGCTTGATTGTTGTTGGTAGACCTGATTCATTTTTATGTACATGGCTAGAAGCCAGTGGAAATGCTTGGTATGGGTACAGTCAGGTGTGTAGTGCGAACTGCCTTTACGACTGCTCTCACCTTTGATCTCAGGAAATACTGTAAAAGGAACTTATGTACGTACTTGGTGACTATGTGAGATATCGCCTCCTTTGCAACCATATCGTCTGAGCGTTTCCTGAGCTCTGAGGATGGTCTGTCGTGTTATCTCTACCTTGAATACCGATTCTTGAGGTAGGAGCAGCTAAAGAAAAATTTGGAACAAGACCTGGAACAAGCTCTAGCCGCGCCCTTTTGTATAGTTCTGTCAGAGTTTTTCCAATGCATATAAAAATCTTGTCTGCTCAGTTAAAGCGTGCCGGAAAACGCTATTCCGAATTATGTGACCTGAATGATCAAACTGGATGTCGGGGCAGATTTCTGAAGAATATTGCGTGTAAGGTCTGGCACGTCAGGCAGCGTTCAGATTCAACGCGCTTTCAAGCGCAGCTACACGCATTGCTGCGTGTCAGAGCCCGTTTAGGCGCTCAACACGCAACAGTTACAAGCGCGCTCAGCGCTATTGTACTATTCCTATCCCAGTGACCTCCTAAACATGAATATCACATCCGCTTGCCCCGGAACCGCCTGGCACCCGCGCCAAGGCGCCGGCGACAAAACACCCTAAATCACCAAAATCGATGAAAACTTGTCACAAGGGGTAACTTAACCTCCTTAAAAAAGGGTATCACATATCACAAAAAGAATATCACGGTTTTCATCGGTTTTGATGATTTTGCGCCACAGGCGTAAAGAAACTAAGCAGTAGACTGCTCGCTAGGCAATTTTCGTTCCGTTTTCGGGAATTAAGGCCTTCGCTGCTAAAAAGCGGACTAATGCATCATAAGGGTTGGAATAGTGCGCTTTTAAGTGACATTAATTTTTGCCACTGTCATCTGTGAGGAATAAACAGAAAAGCATAAAAAGAATTGTTGAAATTAGAAAGTTTTGAGGTTTCTCCCAGTCTGATACTCGGATGGCTTTGTTTATGGTGATGGGTCCTCTTTAGAGATAAACATAGAAAAATCTCGACGTATCTTAAAAGGAAATTTTAGATTTGATCCCGTTGCTAATGAATGGTCGAGTGACATCGTGCCAATGCGCACATGTCGTAGCAGTGTTGGTGTGACTGTGCTGAACGGCTTTCTTTATGCATCAGGCGGTTATGACGACAGCAGGGTTCTGGACACTGTGGAACGGTAAAGAAACATCCGATCTGCTTTTAGTTGTGTTATATATACCATTTTCACTTTAAATTCACCCTTTTTCAAACCAAATTCGTCCTTTTTCAAACCAAATTCGTCCTTTTTCAAACCAAATTCGTCCTTTTTCAAACCAAATTCACCCCTTTTCAAACCAAATTCACCCT